TCCGGATTCCAGCATTTGCTATTGCTAATTTTGATCGCTAAAAGTCTTCAAAAGAATAGCGGAGCGCTTAAAAACATGCAAAGGATAGCTACATGTCCCTCATACAGCTAGATTTGGCTGATTACACTTTGCGTCTGTTACTTTTCCATGTTGCGTACTTTTAGGCCCCACTGCTTTTCATTTAGAGAATTTTAGCGATGGAAATTTAGCGTAGTGATTGTCCGGATTCCACTGCAGGACTCTTAAGATTTTGCTAAAAAACAAATGGTAATATTTAAAATCCGAAAAGTTATCGATGCCATTTTATATTAGTCTTGAGGCATGAAATTCGACAAATAACTCGATCTGACTTGCAACATGTTTATCTAAAGGGTGATTTTTTAAGAGCTTGATAACTTTTTTTAAAAAAAAAACGCATAAAATTTGCAAAATCTCATCGGTTCTTTATTTGAAACGTTAGATTGGTCCATGACATTTACTTTTTGAAGATAATTTCATTTAAATGTTGACCGCGGCTGCGTCTTAGGTGGTCCATTCGGAAAGTCCAATTTTGGGCAACTTTTTCGAGCATTTCGGCCGGAATAGCCCGAATTTCTTCGGAAATGTTGTCTTCCAAAGCTGGAATAGTTGCTGGCTTATCTCTGTAGACTTTAGACTTGACGTAGCCCCACAAAAAATAGTCTAAAGGCGTCAAATCGCATGATCTTGGTGGCCAACTTACCGGTCCATTTCTTGAGATGAATTGTTCTCCGAAGTTTTCCCTCAAAATGGCCATAGAATCGCGAGCTGTGTGGCATGTAGCGCCATCTTGTTGAAACCACATGTCAACCAAGTTCAGTTCTTCCATTTTTGGCAACAAAAAGTTTGTTAGCATCGAACGATAGCGATCGCCATTCACCGTAACGTTGCGTCCAACAGCATCTTTGAAAAAAATACGGTCCAATGATTCCACCAGCGTACAAACCACACCAAACAGTGCATTTTTCGGGATGCATGGGCAGTTCTTGAACGGCTTCTGGTTGCTCTTCACTCCAAATGCGGCAATTTTGCTTATTTACGAAGCCATTCAACCAGAAATGAGCCTCATCGCTGAACAAAATTTGTCGATAAAAAA